TCGCCCTTCCTCTAAAGAATTTTATTACTTTATCTTGAGATGCTCACCTGTAAAACCTCTGTATCTTTACGACGCTCTCCAGCGTCTTCTCGTTTGGGACATCGTTGAGGTTTGTCTTCTTGGAAGGGCTGGCTACGATTTTGTCGTGGATATCGGGGAAGAAATACGCCTGTACACCCACGTCCCGCCCCGTGTTTGTAAATTTATCCATCGTGAGACCGGTCTGCGTACACGCGTTGCGATAAACGATCCCGGTTACTTTGCTCCTCCACCCAACCAGGGCTGGTGGTTTCGTTCTCGTGACCGGTGTTGGGCTCTCCATTTGGAAGTTCGGTTCAGGCCATCGGTGGCTTGGTAACACGTCGGTCGATCGGGGCGGCTAGGTGAAAAAAAAAAAAAAGAAAGAAAAATCGTGAAAGGATAACCGGCGGCTGAAAGTTAACCGGGGATAATGGTAATGCGGGCAGTAAAGGAAATTACTATGCCACGGTTTAAAAAGATTCGCCCAGAGGACCGCATCAGCCGTTTTACAATTCCAAACGAGCGTTGTCGGATAACGGAAGAGAAAACGCGACATGAAAATTAAGCACGAGGATTTAGAATAATTTGAATAATAGTAAAATTATTTTTATGAAATCTACGTATATTTACCTATGCTACGTTAGATTTATTCTGGTTGAATCATCTTGTTTTATCCTTTCTTTTTCTTTTTATCTTTGGTCCAATCATTCTTCCTCTCGAAGCTTTTTCTTGTTTTTTGATTTTGAAATCAATCAATGCGATGCGTTGAGCGAAGAAGATTGGTTTTTTTTCTCTTAATTCATGATGGATAAAAACATTATGAAAACGAATCTGAAAGAAACGGAAGAAAATCTTTTCTTTTTTTCCTCTTTTTACGATTAAAATTCATTTTACATTTTCTCGTTTCAGTATTCCAAATGAACGTATAATCGGAGAATTATATGTGAAATCCATAAATTAAGGGTAAGTAGGATTCGGTACTGTTACAAGGTACATTGCAAATTCAGAGATCACGTGACAGAGCGTACAATACAACGCACAGTGACATTAGGAGCCACGTGCCGCATTGTAAACATAACCACGTGCCATTAGCAAGCCTATAACGTAATGTAAATACAGCAGTGTAACATTAGAAATCACGGTGTTCACAAATGTTCTGGTGAAGCTGGCAACCTCATAAACTGCCTCACAAACAATATCTCTTACTCTTTTAAAAACAGGTACGTACCTCTTCAAACATCAATTATTATCTACTATTTTATCCTTATTTTTATTTTATTTTATTTTCAGATGCAGAAAATTTTCAATACGCAAAAATGTAACAAAGAAATATAACGTCGATTTTCAAATTTTCAAGTTCAAAAAGATGATTAATCCCGATGTTCTAAAATGTGTAACGTTAGAAATCACGAAGCACAAATCTTCTGGTGAAGCTGACAACCTCATAAACTGCCTCATAAACAGTATCGCTCTATTAAAAACAGGTACGTACCTCTTCAAACATCAATTATTACATCTACTACTTTATCCTTATTTTTATTTTATTTTATTTTCAGATGCAGAAAATTTTCAATACGCAAAAATGTAACAAAGAAATGTAAGATCGATTTTTAAATTTTCAAGTTCAAAAAGATGTTCTAAAGTAGTTTTATATATATTTAATTTCTCTCAAAAAAGAAAACGTCCCATTCTCCATTAGGGGATGAAAATATAATATTTCACGAGGCGAGCAGCTTTCATGCTATTATCAAGTTTCGAACAACGTGATCCAGCATGTACTTACATGTTTTCTTGCGGTTAATTTTCGTAATGGCCGATCAAAGAATCATAAGCGTTGTAAACTTCTATATTAGTAACTGAGCAAACTGAATAAATATTATAACGTCAATCATCGTGGTATCGTCATAAATTCGGCTATAAACGCTGTATTATCGGTGATCGCTTAGTACAGCATAAATCTTATAACATAAACGACCATAGATCATAGATCACAAATTCATGAATAAGTGCATTGCCAATATAAATTCACAAATAAGTTGATTGGCTATCAAAAATCATATTGATCGATAAAAATCAATCCTTATACGATGATCTTTATTTAAAAAAAACTATGTTTTAGTACGAATATAGATCGAAATGTTATAAATATTATTAGAAAATGAAATTTATAATCTTCTCCTTAACAGGATTTATAAAGACCTGTTACTTCAGTCCCAATGTTTAATTCCTCAGTGTTTAATTCCTCATCATTCAGCCAGAGTTTAGCATCTGCGGTGAATACACTCTTCAAGGTTTTATGGCTGGTGGAAATCCACTCGATAATTCCGCGGTATGGGCGGAAGTGCACCAGCGAGAACGCGGAGAGCCGTTAAAACTTGGGCGCATGCATTGCACAGTCGATGCATCGCGCGTAATTATTTACGTAAGAAATACACGCAAATATTCCCGTTGTTTATTTATACATTTTCTTTTCAACCGATTATTTCGTATTTAATATTTTCTTTTAATTAAAAAATGGATATGATCAAAAATCAATTTTGGATCGTATCAATTGTTTTCTTCTTCTTCTTCTTTTTTCAACGTCAATTGTTTTTTCTTTCTTCTATTTTGCTTGCGAAATGATTGAAATCCGAAAATACGATAGCGATAGAATAAATTGCGAAAAGTATATCCTGAGGAAGACAGGTTTTGAAGTATGTCTCTGGAAAAGATAAGATTTTATTTGAAATTTGTTTTAACGTTAATGCGTCCAATATGATACAGATTTTCGATTGGACGTGCTTGTAATTTAATTAGAATTCGCGAAACGTAGAATAAACAGAGAATTCATTTTGCACATGTAAACTGGCCCCTCTTTCCCGCGAGCTAAGTATTTACATTTTGCTTATTAAATGTTTGTGGCCGACTGAACATTGAAATTTAATTTCTGTTTAATTGGATCACTAGCAGTTACATATGCACGTGAAACATTCATGATTCTGGCGAGAAGACAACGAAAAATCAAAAATGCCCGATTCGCGACTAATCGAAATATCTTCTTTGAATAGGTTTTCGTATGTTATTTTCTTGCGAATTAAATGATGTCATTCTTTTTTCATTAATTTAACGAAATGATAAAAGGAAAATATTATTTATTCGTTCGTCTATATTATCGAAAATTCATATTCTGAATTTATTTATTGTATTCTGCTTATCTTTTTTTTTATAATATTGCACGTTTGTTTTTCTAATATTTTTAAATTTGCATCTCGTACTCTATCTTCGAGAAATTATACTTAATGAGGAAATAATTAAAAAATTATTTATCTCTTTTTATAAAAGACTCAAGATATTTCAAGATGATTTTGATTTCAAGACGTTTCTCGAGAGGGAACTCTCGTGAAATATTACTAACTATTTTTAAAAATTTACTCAGAACGCGCGAAAGATGTTCTGAATAATTTAAAATGAAAACGAAAATAAGTATTGCTAAGATACGACACGAATGTAAAAATATTGAAATAAATAGAGTGGGAAAAAAATGCAAAAAGAGAATCGCCAATGTAACTTCTACCTGCGAGTATACTCACACACACACTGGAGTACCAGGCGGAATGATTTTTCATTCCTCTATCGGGATTAACGTTTCTTTCTTCTTTTCGAAATCAAATATAAATATTCTAGAATAATATTCTTTCAATATTTCAAAACCGCGAATGAAATTTCATTTAAAATTTATATTCGAAAAACTTCGATATCCACGATAAAACAACATAAAAAAGAAGCTAGGTAAAAAATATTTTGTAGATTTGAAAGAAAAAAGGAAAAGATAATTCGAGAAAATATTACAAAATATCTCGATATCTAAGTAAAAGGATACATAACATTGGAATCGAGACAAATAATTAGTAGAAATGATAATTAAGAGTCGAGTTTCGTTAATAATAGAGAAATCGATTCGTAACGTGCGTTGATTACAATACATTGCAATTATCTCGAGCACGAGAATAACAAATGATTCTTCTCATTAAAACCCGTACATGATAAATCATTAATTTATTTTTAAAATTAGCTTCGTTGGGCACGTAGATAGATCCGAAGGAATTAACTATTAACCCGTTACGTGCAAAATTCATCAAAGCGAATCCACAAAGATGCGAAGGATGTCAAATGTAAATTAATGCAACATATGGAAAATGCAATCGTTGTTTCTCCACTCGATTGATATCGCGATAATCATAAATTTAATTTATATTCCAACTCACCCTCAGTTTCGAAATCACTTCTGTTTTTCGTGATCCATACCATCATCATAAGTATTGTTTTTATGAAACTGCTGTTTATCAGATTCTTGTTGATCCCACCATCATTATTTATCGCTTGTTTCATCGCGATTTGTCGTTGTGAAATTTATCGTAAATTCGTTCCATTCAAATTGACAAACAACGGAAGAGGATCACGATACAGAACGATCAAAAGGTAAACGATATCGATGTCGTGTCTTGAAACAATCCGCTATTAGATTTATTGAAATAACATCGTATCACGGGGGAAAAAAAAACAAATCACCAAACCCCCGGACAGAGAAGACTAACGGAACTTTTAATGCGACGCAATCCATATAGGAGACTTCTACACCGCCTGAAAAGTCAGAACCACCTTAAATCCATCGTTGCCAATGGCAACCTGTTTGGTCGATCGGTCAAAAGCACTTTCTACTCCATTATTTTTCGATTTTATTATATCCTTTGTTAGAAAAAAAAAAAAAGAAAAGAACCTCCTCGAACTTTTCCGCTAATCGTTTTCCCTCTCTCCCTTGTGCCAAACGCAACAAACGAAATCCAAACGAAGATCATCCATCTTGTTAACGGAAAAAAAAAGTTTTGTCGTTTACGTGAACTTGTTCCACAACTAAATGCATTCGAGAAAATTGATGTTTTAATCCGATTATATCGGGATAAAATGTGTACAATGAAAAATCGTATAGGAAATTCACGAGTGAAAATACACGGGCAATTAGACACAAGGAAATACATCATGAGTAGAGGTAATCGTGCACTTTGATCGCCGGCTTATATATCACCTCTCTGCCGATCTTATGAAACTTTTCTCGGAAATCCTTCTCGAACTGTCTCAAGTACCTGCAACGAGTTCAATCGATATATTATTTCCACTTCTCGATCTTCGAAACTATGTGCACGTACTTGAATTGGTTTTTCGCTAACTGATGAGCCAACAAGACTCGTTCGATAAGTGATTTCGAGTATATGTCAGCTAGATTTTCGATCCTGGAGTGAACAGCAGCCTCTTCCTGCGTCAAAAGAATACAATTCCACGGTGACCATTCCTCGTTCATATTATATCGAACAATTCGTAATAAGAACAGATCTGAATTTTCGCTAATGGCCGAATGTCCGTGCCAAATATTATTCACCAGATGATACATGTCGTGCTTTTGCATAATGAATGCGATAGCAGAGGTTGATTCTCTTTTTCTTTCCTCTGAACGCACAGTATTTAAGAGAAATACGTAATGATCGTAGTTTATGTGTTTAATATTCCGTTCACGCAGCCAAGTACATCCTTTAAATATTGAAAAATATATATATATATAAAACATCCTTTAATAAAATATTGTATCCATTACGTATTATGAAATGAAATCAAAATAGTACCAACGCAAGTATATATCTTGTTCATTCTTCCATGAACAGTGAATTTGTGTTTGGGAAATAATTTTAAACAACCGAAACATAATCTCGTCTTGGGTTCAATTGGTTCACGAAGTTTCTCATCGTCTACGCTCTTGCAAAAGTCTTCGTCGTTCTTTGTGCAACAACACGAATGTGACGAGCGTAAAAAACTCAAATAACTATCTATATCGTCAAAGAGAAAGGAAGGAAGAAAGAAAATTTTATTAATGATTTTCTTATTTCAAATTTGAACTTTGCAGACAAGAATATTTTTTTCTTTTTTTTTTTTTTTTTTTTTTTTCTTACAAATTATTTTCTCCCGGAAGTAGTCCAACGGCATGTTTTTCATTCCCTTTGCCAAGTAAATCAACTCTTCGTCCAAGAGTCGTATCAAATCGAACGCAGACACGCAATTGTGCATTTCCAACGATTTCTTTAGCATGGTAAGTATCTCCATACGTTCAGCGTAAGTAACATTGTAATTTGTCAACGAATCGTAAATTATCTTCAATTCTCTCGCCTTCTGGTTTCTCATTGTATCCATTTCCAACAGCTTATTCTTATAGCCATTCCACATAATAGGCTTGCAATTCACCGTAATGAATTTCACGCGTTTCTTGTTTCTGTAACGTTTTCTCACCGCTTGTCTCTTCTGATCGATCACGTTCAACATCTCCACCATTTTTTCCAATATCATATAATTTTCTGCACATCTTCCGGGTCTGAAGAAAAGTTGTTTCGTGCATTCGATATGATCGCGTTTCCATTTTTCGACCAAATCGTACAACAAATCGAAATCCAGTCGTGTTTTGGGATCGATTCGTCGAAGAATTTCACCCTGATGCCTTTTCCTGAGATGGGAAAGGGATATTATGCATTTTGATTCAAGTGCGGATTGTGCACTTATAGATTTTAGACATTACATACCTGTATAATAATATATTTTCTGCTTCGTAAAATTTACATTGTTTGGCAAGCTCTCGATATTGTCTCGCGTATTGTTTAATGTATTTCCACAATTTATATATTTTATAATTTTTTTGAATAATTCGTGCTTTTCCATCGTAGTCCAATCGTTTCATCATTTCTTCGTATGTTTCGTACGGTTTTGATGTTATATATGTATCTGATTCACTCGATATAAAACAATCTGGTCTGAATGAAGAGAAAGATACGAATTAATAAAGAATAAAAAGAAATTTACGATTAAAAATAAAAGAAAAGTAAACGTATATGTATAATAATTTTAATATTTTAATAAAATTTAATAATTAAAACCAAAGTATATTATTTCAATATCAATTTTTCTAACTTTGTTTTATCTATATTAAGAATATAATATAAAAATATGCACCGTGCCATCTGGGTCGATTGATGATATGGTGTTTGCGTGGATACTTCCGTCCAAGAAATATATTGCACTTTTTTGCTGCATTTTTCTTTTGAGTTTCTTATTAATGGACCTGTTTGCGACTCGGCATTTAAATATTCTACTTGGCTAATTTTATGTTTCCATCCTCCCAAATAAGGTTTTTTTATTCTACGATCCTCTATTTCTACAGAATCGTAACATACCATTTTGAAATTCTTTGAATATTGCCCAAAATGTTATAAATGAAAAGTATTCGTTTAATTAAAACGAATTTGATATTAGAAAATAATGAATTCAATGTTGAACATAGCTTTTGTTCAAAAAAAATGTTATTCATTTTTCTAAATCAATACTTACATGTTTACATGTTAATATATATATATATATATATAATATAATATAATATATAATTATTGGATAAAGTTATTTAAATACGGTCATTAGATTATCGTTTTTATTAGACATACATCACTCTTTCACATGAATTTTGTGATTTACAAGTATTTTAATCTTTCAGTTGTTAATTTTACATTGAAATTTAATGTTTACATTGGATTTAGTGTTACAATATTTGTTTCTGTACAATACAGAATTTAATAACATATAAATCATGTTTTCCTAAAATATAGGGAATATAATATTCATAGACGCAAACAACTTAAATCATTTGATTAATCGAATATTATTATAAAAAAGATTGTTATCAGAATGTGTATAGCTGATGTATATATATATGTATATATATATATATATATATATATATATATATTATATGTATATATATATATATGTATATATGTATATATTGTATGTATATATATATATATATATATATATATATATATATATTCATATATTCATATATTCATATTCAAAATGTTGCAGATATCAGTAAAAAGAACTGTTAACAATTTCATTGATGTGTTACTATACAACATTTCGAAATTATATATTCTATACTTTTGTTATTTACATTTCATAACGATCTGTAAATTTCACGAACCTTATCTTCAAACAATCGACGCATTCATTCTTAATCTTCACATGAATTCACTTAAAACATACGATTTATAATAAACTATATACAAATATCATTTTCATTTTTTCATAGAAATTTATCCACAAAATATGCACGATAAATAATACATTTTGTACAATGAAGGATGTATCGTTAATAAAACAAAAAAAGGGGGAAACGGGAAGGCTTTAAAGATTGTATTAGACAAAAAAAAAAAGGCATCCAAAGTCAACAACACAAAAATATTTTTGCACGATTAAAGCTAAAATAAATAGTATGTAATTTATAGCATGAAATGATGGCTATTATAAATGATTTAGATCAGTTTTATCAATGGAAAATGTTGATGACACGAAAAATCAAATACTGGAGGTTCTTTAGAATCCTTTTTATGTCCATCTGCAAGTAACTTTAGAACCACAAAATTTGTCTTTGCCACTTTTAGTAGATCATTAATCTGCAAATCAAAGCAACAAATAATAAATAAAATAAATTAAATAAAAATATAAAAAAATTGGAAACTATTTACCTCATTTACAGTACTAGCATTTGGTGGATAAAGAGACAACGCTCGTTCCAACATATTTCTGGCTTGATGAAAATGACGACAGCCGGCTAAGTACAGCATTTCACTAGTAACCTTTTCCTAGGAAAATAGAAGTTAAGAAAAGAAATTCTAAATTAAAAAAATATAAAAAGGATCATTATACTCACGTTTCTTTTATGCATTTGTGCATTAGTCATATCTAAGAATTCTTGATAATGTACTGGAGGTGGCGTCAATAAGGAAGAAAAAGGTAATAACCTATGTTCATATCGAACTCGTTCTGAATCAAATGGGGACTCGGGAAGAGGTATTTTACCATCCATTCGAAAACCAACTAAAGCCTACAATGTAAATTTTATAGATAGAATTAAATTATAAATACAGTAATAACATTTTAAAAACAAACATGTATTTACTTTATAATATCCTCCACATATATTTTGCATAGCTTGATACATTAATATCTCTAAGTTATATGGTCTTGATGTCGATTTTTTCTTTTTATTTTTTGCACTTTTTTTACCACCTCTGCCTTTGTGCGCATCATTATGTACATCCTGTTCCATTAAGAATGTATTGGCCCTCGTAATAGCAGATACAAGCCATCCATAAAGAAATTCATATAGATACCAAAATATATAATGATATTCATGTACTGAATATAATTCCAATTCAAAACCACTTAACAAATACATGACCATAACCCGTAATGTATGATACAAAATCCATGTTCCAAAACAAGCTAAATGTGACCTAGGTGTATCACTTTTCCATGACAAAGTGTGCAGAAATCCATCAACTCTTTCAGCCTATTAAAATTTCAAAATTACAATAATAAAAAATCTTAAATATTATATAACATAAATTCATTCTTAATCTTACTTCATCTTGCAATATTGCAAAATCATCCAATAAATGTGCTAATTTGTCTCTTTGTCTTGCTCTATTATGACCAGTAAGTTGCAATAAACTGCCAAAGAGGCCTACACAATGAGACATAAAACTATCAACATATTCTTTTGCTTGATGATTTTGAAGTAGTGTGCTCTTTGGCATTAGTACTGGAGGTGCTATAAAACTTCGTGCTGCATCTTTCAAAACATCAGCAAAATTTTGCACACCAAATACCCGATTTGTTGTAGGCAAATAAACTATTTGCAGCATTGATCTGGATAATATACAGGGACTTTGTCGTGAAAATTCTAAAAAAAAGTCCTAAAAAAAAATCAGTGTACTTGGAATTTATGCCAAAAATTTCTAATGAACTATAAATCTTTTCTTACCAAAGCTGCATGAAAACCATTCTGATTAGTGATCATAGTAACTGTTCGAAACCTATTCAATAATTCATCCAAATATTTTAATGCTTCTAATCTTGGTTTTATTTTTGTATATCTTGGAAATGTAGGTGGTAATAATCTTTGATTTACCATAGGATCAAATCCCATAATATTTGGATAATTTGCTACAATTTTTATATAACACATGATTTATATATAGATAAACTATGAACTTTGGAACTTACATATTTCATCAGCTTTTTCTCCACTGTTTACTGTTTTAATCATAATTTGAATCATATAAGAACATCTTGATAATAATGTATGACAATCATTTAGATTTTGTTGCAACTGTTCTTTTTTCCCCATTAATGATAAAATCTGATAAAATAATTTAGTAAATCTAATTCTGGCATATAGTGCTAATCTATCACTATACTGAAAGAAATAATATTTTTTTAAACAATTATTTATATTTTTAACCATTCCAAAGAATTAAATATGTTTTGAAATATACACTTACTTCTTTCTCAGATATTACATGAATTGGTTTTATTCTACTTTTCCTAGGTAATTCATCTTCTACTTCTCTGAGCATAGATATGATTTTTTGTTCTGTAATATCTTGTTGTAATCTATAACCATAAGTAACACTCTGGAAATCTTCTTCTTCAAAAACTAATGCTTTATTAATGCAATCTTTAATTATTTCAATTATTTTATATACAGCATAACAAAAAGTTTTCAAAGGTTTATCCACTATTTGACTGGGTTGATGAAGGTATAGGTTAGTGAAAACTGTTTGAGCCAAACTATGGCCTTCAAGCCAAGACACTATACACGCATAAGTTGAATCTATTATTCCTATAACTTCTGATGGTGTTAAATTGTCCAATTTTAGTGCACCAGAATCAACGGCTTGTGTAAAAGTACAAGGTTTGCTGTTGCCTCTATTGCATAGCATGCCAACATCCATTTTTGGATCCATCATTTCAATTGCAGACATGGCCTCAAATAATCCAAATAACTCATCACGTAATAGTTCACCCAATTCCAACTCTATAATAATAAAAAAAATATTTTGTATTATATAAAATATTATTTGTTAATTTATATCATTAGTAAGTATAAATAAAAATCTTAATGAGCAATGATATTTAAATGCCAACAATATTAAATAGAATTATATATATTATTTATACAGAATAAATGTATAAATTAAAGTTAAATCGTTTTGGTAAATATGAAAATGATAAAATAAAAAAATATATAAAGAAAGGAAATGAAATAAAAATTGTAAAGCAAGTATTTGTAATTTGTAAAGAAAATAAATTTTTAAATAACCACCTGTAATGGCATCGAAAAATTCTTGGGTAATATCCACCCAATTGTACGTAACTTGGTCGAATCTGCAATGTAAATAGATATAAAAATTAAAAAATATCGCAAGAACCACAAATAATGTTATGCGCTAGGTTATTTTTCTTTAGCCTAATTATAATCATAATATTTATTTTTCAATATTTTCATATAATCTTAGATCAAGTATAGATAATTTTTTCATTACAATTAATATATTTTAACTTACTGTGATTCTTTATCTTCGCCCATATCAACCGAATTCTGTTCTTCCACCATAGTCGCCATTCTTACAGATTGACCTGTCACATTTAACAGCACTGCCAACAATATAAAAATATGTTATTCTCCTATCAAAAGATAACTTCGATTAGCTTCTTTAATTCTTATAAGAATTATGTATTTATATAGCTTTTTTTATTATTGAAGCGTAAAATCATATATATATATTCTTTTACTTATTAAATAAAATATATTTACAAAAATGTATATATAAAATAAAAATAAAACTTGATTATTATCGTATAAATAAAATAGTTTTAAGAACACATTTATATTCAAACTTATTTGAATATATATATATTTTCGGTTGTTCAAAAGAAAATCCAGAGAATTGAATATGTAATGTTTTTAAACATTTCTCTTGTATTTACTTTAAAAATTTGTATTTCAAATGGCAGATAAGGTACGTAAAAATAAAATTTCACTGTATTATTATGAAAATATTTGTTTACAATTTCAAAATTTATATGAGTATTAATATATCATTTTCAGGAACTTTTAGACGAATTGAAAGTACTCCGACAAATGCAACTTGAATTGCAACAACTTTATACTTTGTTACGATTAATGAGAGTTGATTTAGAAAAAATTATAAACAACTTCACTTCGTTAAATGATAAATAATTTTTATATTTTATATTTTCAATATTACTCATAATTTATTTATTTATAACATTAATACGTTTGTTATTAATATTTCGAAAAAATATATAAATAATATTTCTTTTAAGTAATATATAAAAATATTTTGAATATATATATATGATCTCTATTTTAATAAATTTGCAAAATGGAAAAAGATGAGCCAATGGAAGTATTATCTTTAAATTCTTCATCATCTTTGCGAAGAAAATCTTTTCAAGTAAATAATGAATTATCCCTTAATTTGCCAGAAAATAATGATGAGGCTGAGAAATTGGCTAGACGTCTTGAAATAAATGCTTCTATAACATCAACAGAAAATATAAACACAAGTAATAAACGAAAATCTTTGGGACTTGGTTTTTTAGCTCAAATGTCATCAGTTCAAGTAAAAAATCATATAAGTGAATGTATAAAACTTAGCACTGAAAATAAAATTAATATAAAAAATGCATTTAGCCTTGAAATGATTAACTTTATGTCTTATATGATAAAAAAAGAAGATGACAATATGTCTAATCTACAAACAGCCAGTACATCTTTAGATGTAAGCACAAAAATCTATGGGTTTCGTGTAGATGGTATTCATACAGAAATCATGAAGATGCTAGGTGCATCAGATAAACAAGATAATCCAATTGATAATATAAATGAATATTTAAGTAATGAGCAAGAAAATCAAATAAATAATTTTCAAAAACAGAAAAAAAGAACAAAAAAAAAAAACAGACAGATTTTTAGTACAGCAGATAGTTTAAAAGGAATTGTAGAAATTATGAAACCTTCATTGTGGATGATGGAAGATAAAGATTTACAAACTACAGATGGATTATATCAAGTAATATTGTCAAATCATGCAAATTCAAAATATTATTTACATTTATACAATGATGTTATTATGGATATTGTAGAACATAAAACAAGTAGTGAAAACACAAAAATAACTATTTCAAAGATAGAAGATTTTTCTAAGTCAGAAATATGTCCACCTCTGACTAATTTTAAATTTCAGAATGATTTTTATAATGATAAAGAAGAAGAAGAAAAAGAAAATGAAAATGAAAATACAAATGAAATTAATGAAAATCATTTTCAATTTAATTTAAATGCTACTGTACAATCTGATAATGAAATAATTGATGATAATATAAATTATTTAGATATTCAAGATGGGATGGAAAATACAAACATATGTATTGAGATACAAAAACCAGTGGAAAAAATTGTAGACTTATGTAAAGTTTTATCTAATATTGGTACAAATAAAACATCCGAGTACTCTTTTCTTCAGAAAAGTTCTAATTTACATTGGGCTGGTCCTTCTCATTGGAGAATGAGTAATTTCACAAAATATTCTAAAGAAGGAAAAATTATAGCAGCCTGTGCACAAGAGCCAGTTAAAAAAAGAAAAGAAATAGAGATATGCTATGATGATAATATTAAAAAAGCAATAATATCAAAATTTGCAATAAGTAAAGCTATAAAATTTGATAGTAACAAATTAGATTGGTCAGAAGGAAGATTGACATTGCCACGAGATATGCATTATAATATTGCAAATGCAGTTAAATTATATCTACATAAATTAATACATATAAATATTAGAAATAAGGATGATTTAAATGTAACTCATATATCTGACATAGAGAATTATAATTATGATAATGAAAATGATATGTCAAATTATTGTCCTTATGTCTTTAAAAATGATTATGAGATAAATGAAGACAATAATAAAAATGAATATAATCATGAAATTGAAAATGATGAAATTGAAACACAAATGGCTTTTGCTGGAGATAATTTAGTAGCTGCTCCTAAATTAACAAATAAAATATCTATTGCATATAGTATATATGCCAAAAGAATAGATATGAGACAATTAAAAAAATCTATTTGGAAAAGTCTAACTGTAAATAATAATAAAGAAAATAGAAAAAATCAAGAAGAAGATAAAATTAAAGGAAATAAATCTTTTAGTGAAATTTATAAAGCATTACCTAATATATTAACAAAAACTAATATAGAAGCTTTAAGTTTTCCTATTTCTTTTGTATCTTTGTTACATTTAGCAAATGAAAAGACATTAAAAATACAATCTCTCCCAGATATGTCTGACCTTCTTATAGAAACAAATTAATTTTACACATGTAAATAAGTTTCTTTTATATATTCAAAAATTTTATTATTATGTTGAAGATAAGTATATAAACAATGTATTAAAAAAATTTTATTAATTTCTATTTTTTCTTATATAGTTTCTTTTTATTATTTTTCGTTAATATTATAAGATATGATATGTAATATGCATCAAAATATTTATATTTGTAACTACAATTTTTATGAAAATTGAAATTTTAAATAAGTAATAAATACAAAAATTATTGAAAAATTTAAATCAATTTATTTGAAGAATCAATAATGAAAAATAAAACAGAATAAAATTATATTTTTAGCATATAAATTTATAAAGCATTTGATTTATATAAGATTGCTCGATTGTTTTTTTATATATTTTAATCAATTAATATTTTCAAGTCAGTAACCTATTCTTCGAATTTTCTTCTTTTCCGCGTTTTACCATTTTGAAAATAATAAAAAATTATCGTCAATGATTCATATAAATCAAATATTTAAATATGATTGGAATACAACAATATCTTTTGAAATCTCTCAAGAAATGTATTTTACATCGTTTTTATCGAAATATTTCAAACATGCCGATTGACGATGAAAAAGCGAAATGTGTAAAAGATAAAGGAAATGAGCAAAAATCGAAAGAAGAAATGAATGTTAACATTAAAACTCAATTCAAAGATTATGATTCCTTTCTACCAGATCACAAAGGTGATATAAAAGTTTGTATGATAGGAGGCAGCGAATCATTGATGTATGCGGCTCTTCTTTTGAAACAATTTCGTCTCATAAAACAGATACATGTGGTAGACACAAAAAATTCATTTTCTAATGCAATTTTAGATATTAATCACATTGATACATCAACTCGTATAAAATGCTTTAAGAGAAAACATTTGAAACAAGCTCTTAAAGAAGTATATCTTTATCATTCTACTTTTATAACATAATGTTTCGAAAATCATAATCATTTAAACAATTATAAATGAATAATGAACAATGTATTGTTGATATGATATTATTACCATTAAGATTAAAATTCATGGAATTCGATATTATTTCCAGATAAACATTATTGCATTAATGGATGAGATAAATCCCAATATAAATTTAAATCTCACTTCTCAATTTGAGGCTGTCTCTCCATATGTGTGTGAAATGGCTGAACAAATGGCACAATTTAATTCAGAATCTTTGGTAGCTGTTTTCGTTCGACCAGTTACGGCTACGCTTCCTACAGTATCAGAAATTTACAAACTTGCTGGATGGTGGGATCCGGATAGAATTATTGGTTCTACAGCGCTTGATCGTATGCGAATGGAAGCATTAACCGCGAATCTCTTGGATTTAAATCCTGCCTTTTTATCGGTTCCATTGGTTGGTGGTGCAGATTTAAATACTATTGTTCCTCTTTTATCATGTGCTACTCCAATCAATCGGTTTACCAATGTATGAAAGTATAGTCATCTACAATTGTATTAAAAAAAAATTTTACTCTATTTTTTAACATTATTAATATTAAAAATTCATGTAGGCACAACAAGATATGTTGTTACAATCATTACGTAGTGCTGATAAAGAAATGGCAAATATTGAATTGAAAAGTCCAACATTATCTGATGGAGCAGCAGCTGCCAAATTAATTCTAGCTCTTGCTGGAGGACTTAGTGGTTTTAAAAATATTATTTCTTCTGCTTATGTGCGATCAAATGTTTTGCCAGTATGCCGATATTTTACGAGTGAATTGCAATTCGGACCAGGCGGTATACAAAAAAATTTTGGATTGCCGAAAATGTCATCTACGGAAATAATGCTGGTCGAACAGGCAATTCCTTGTATTAATAAATGTATTGGAATGGCAACAAAAGCAGTTCATTATAATAGACATATCACATTGAAAACTGTATAAACTAATTTTTTCAAAGAATCATTTTGTACATAAAATACATTATTTAATAAAAATTTTATTATTAGGTATAAATTAACTTCTTTAATATGAATGATTTAATAAATAAATAATAAAAAGTTAATTATAATATTATATAATAAAAATATTAATTATAATATTTTATATTCAAAAATAATATAAATATATATATTCGATAATATAATAATTTTATTTATATATTGTTTTTTAAACTATTTTAGGTTTTTAAACTATTTTAAAGATAATAAGTGATATAGAAATTATGTTTATAATTAAATTCTAAATAAAATTATCATTAACATTTATTTTATTTATCTATATTTCTTTCTTATTCGTGCGTGAAACGGATGTTTCTCATTTAAAATATTATATTCAATAACTTATACATAATATATATGTTGTAGTTCATATAAACCTCAGTTTGATTTGGAGTTTCAAACTGAATGGTATTTCGACTAGTTAATGCTCGTTGGCATGAATACGAACTATGGATGCGAAAATATAACACAGTATAAGTAAAATATTTGAATCGAAGATAATATTTTTACGATCAACTGGTTTATTCGTCTTAAAGTGAAAAAAAAAGAATTATTGACATCTGTTGATTCATTACATCCATTATTTTTATATACATATTTCGTGCGTGAAAATAAAATATTCATTTTTTCTAAAAATGATGACAAATCACACAGTGTTGCCGTTCAAAGAATGTTTATAAATGATTCGATCTATAAATATCAAAACAAAACGCAGAGGGATTTAAATTTGGGTCGAGTGCACATAGATCGCCCGGCTAGACTATTTTAAAATTGCGTGAATCTTTTATTTTGACATTTTATGTTTAAACAGTTTTATATTCGATAACTAAAAAATTTGTCTTTTTGTGGAACAATTTGTTAAAATTTTGATATCATGGGGATCATATTATCAAGATTTCGTGTAAGTGTGTGTCAGTATGTTAACATTAATACAATGTAATATTAATATTATTCAATTAAGGTTAACAATTTATCATATTATACTTTTTTTTGTTATATAATTAAGGATATTTAAATTAGTATAATATTTTGTTTAAAAAATACAAAATTTTTTAAATAGAATTCATTAAAATTTTTTTTTATAATTAAATATAATTGAATTAAACATATTGTGTTAGTTAATAAATTTTCGAGGTTAGATAAGAAAATTTTAAACAAATTTTATTAAATATTGATATTTCCATAACTTTTTATAACACATTATGTCATATAAATAGCATAAATTTTATAACTTTTTAATTTAAGTAATCCATAATCTTCAATTTTTATAGGTTTATAACCTAAGAAAAAAAATTTAATAAAAATTATAATACTGAATGTCATCAATCACTTTATCTATAATTTATTCAGTAGAATTGTCATGTAATACAAAATTACCATTCAATGACATTATGTTTAATTTATTTAATTGTTTTAAATTCTGAACTAAAACACATTATATCTAGATGTTTATATAATGATAAGCAATTATAAAATATTTTTTTGTTAAAAAAATGTTATAAGTTTATCATATACTTATACAATATAATAAAAATTAATAAAATATATATATACATATTTTTTTTATATTTAATATTATATATATATAATATTAAAAGCAAAAATAATGATTTAATATGCTATACATGCAACTTCCTATAAACTTTCATATTATTATTCTATGAACATACTTGCTTTACAATTCTGGATTCATTTGAATTTAATATTTGAATTACATTTTAATTTAATATATATTTGCATATATATATATAATATTATACATATTATATATTTATTTATTTTTTTATTTTTCAGAGAAAGAAAACAACAATTGAAATTTTAGAAGATCTTGATGCGGTATAATATTTATATGTTTTTTTTTAAATTTATATTAATGATTTCAAAATAATCACAAATATTTTTGTTTAACAGAAAATTAAAGAAATAGAAAAATATGGACATAGTACGGAACAAAAACATAAAAAAATTGTTGGAACTCTAATATTATATAGTGTGATACTTTATATTATAACAGCATTCATTTTTTATTTTTATTTTTTTCCTGCATCATTATATGATCAAATATTCTATATCATTCCACTCTTAATTTTTCCAATTCTGTAAGTGTTCATTTTATTATATATTTTATTATATTTGTTTTCTTTATAAAATTATTCAAAAATTATTCACATATATTTATTATTATAGAATATTACTTACAAAAAAGATGGTAACATGGTACTATAAACGTAAAATTTCTGAAAATGAAGAGAAATTAAGTACTATGCAATTAGAAAAAAAGAAAATTTTAGATGAAGTTACAGAAACTGAAACATATAAAAAAGCTAAAGAAATTTTATTAAAGTTTGCTCCAGATCAATTATCTCCTGTAAATATATAAAAAAAATATTTAAATTTTTTTTTTTATCTTTTAATTATTTCTATTACTATTTCTAGATATATATTGTATTTATAATAAATTTTTTTTATTAATATATTAGTATATTAATATATTAATAAGCTAGTTAATAAATTAAAAAGAATAAAAAAATAAAATATTTGGTAAAAAAAACTTTTATTATAGCCAACTTATAAAGTGCCATCACGAACAGAAACACCTCAACAATCTAGTTCTCCACACAATATAATATCTCCAATATCTCTTTCTGGAGAATTGAGAAGACGTGTAATAACAAGCCAAAATCAACCATTAAATCTACAAAGTGGTACACCCGCTAACACTGGCCTTGTCCCAGTTGGCATAACTCCCACTCAAAATCCATCAAATGCCTCCTTTCAGAGTGGTATTAAACCAGTTAATACTCCAATTAGAGGTTATCGTTAGTATTTTTAAAATTAAAATTATTATTATATTTTTTTTTATTTAATATATATATATTAAGAAATTATATTAAAAAATAAAAAAATATATTATTATATAATAGGAATTCCTTTGCCACGTCCGATATTACCTCGGCACAGGACTCACTTGGATCGATTAATTGATTATATTGTTGGAGATGGTCCATCTAATCGATATGCATTAATTTGTCGAAATTGTGATTCCCACAATGGAATGGCTCTCAAGGAGGAATTTGAATATTTTGGTAAACATTTGTCACATAATCTGCCAAAAAGAGTTAAGTATAAAGGTATAAGTAAAATATTAAATATTCAAAATATATGTATTTTTATTTTGTAGGATTCAGATGTTGTTATTGCAACTTTTGGAATCCTGCAAGAAAACAGAAACCATCTATTCCAAAACCAGAATGTAATGTGGGTTTTAGTAGCCCATCTTCAACTACTTCTGAACAATTATCAAATAATGCTAATGTAGAACAGATAAAACTTAAACGAACGGAATCAATTCCATCAGATTCAGGTTTATAATATAAAAAAAAATATAAAAAAAAAAAAAAAACATAAATAATTTGAACTTATGAAAAAAATTATCAATTAAAAATAATTTTTAGATTCAGATATCGAAGTAGTTGAACGACCAATGGAAGCATTGGAAGAGGCTGAACATATTACTGAATTAAATAAAAAACCATATGGTAAGAAAAATGTTTCTTCTATAATATTCTTTTATTATTATAAATGTATAATTATTATTATAGATGAGCGAAATGAACCAGAAAAACCTGAAACAAAGGAAGAACAAAATTATGAAGAAAGCGTTGAAAAAATGGATTTTGACGAATCTTCGTCTTAACAAAATATATTTTGAAATTATTTGCAACATGAAATCTTATCAATGTACTACAATTGGCGTTGTAGTATACATATAATTATATAGGTATACTGAAAATGTAAATACTATATTACTTACAAACAAATTTATGAAAATAAAGAAAATCATATTTGACAATAGGTAGTAATATAGTATTTACAAAAGTTACATAAATACTATATTCTCGTATTTGAATGAAAGATCATTCCAAATTGTTCTTGTCTATTTCTTGTTGGAATTTTGCATAACTATAAAATGAAGCAAAATAATCACAAGTACTTAGGAAAGATATTGTTATGTCAATATCTTTAATTCTCTTAGAAAGCTTTTGCTTCATCTATCATTGCAAAATTATGAAATTTTATAATATATTGAAAAATGTTTAGGAACCATTTATTCTTTTAAAGATTTTAAATTATCTTTAATATTATATACAAAAATGCCCACATTGAAAATTGTAGTCAATAATACATTTTATGCAAGACTGCTTATTTCTCATCAATAGTGGACATTAGTATTTATATTAGAAAATATCATCTCCCCTCCTCCCCCTTTTTTACAATAAAATATAGCATACATTTTAAGATTTTACATATATATATGTACATATGTATATATACATATCACACATATTATATATACATATATATGTATATATATTATGGGAGGATGGATTTTTTTTATATCCATAATCTAAAATGTAAGAAATGAAAATGAGAAAAAAAAAAGTATTTATTTTTTTCACTAAATTTTTTCCTAGTAAAATTTTTTAGTTTATTAAATAATTTTGTAATACATTTTTAGTGTCCTACTAACGTTTATCAAGAATATAGTTCAAGTTATTACATTATATGAAGAAAGATCTGTTTTGTGAAACATACATAATTCTTATTCAAGAAACAATAATTACACAAATAATAAAAACTTTAAAAATGATTTCTATTTATTTCAACTAGTTATTAAAAATTTTTATTTGCAATTGTACTTAAAAATTAATTTATTTAATTTTATTACTGTATTTAATATAAAACAAATTTCATTAAAAATTTGTATTAATATGACAAGTAAAAATGTTTGGATAATTGTTGAAAGAAATATACTTTTCAATAAAAATATACGAAAAAATTTTCATCAATTATTTTTTTAAATTTTTAATATATCTTATAATTTTTAAACATGTTTAAACTATTTAATAAATGAATTTTATAAAATAATGATAGTTTTTTCCT